AAAAACAAATCAACATATTACAGATTATCCTGAGCAGCATATTTATGAAGGAAGACTCTTACAGGAACATTCTTTATGCATAAAAATATAGAAAGGCATCTAAGGATCACTAATCTCCCCACCTTCATGGACCATAATTTATGAGAAGAAGATCACAATGATCTCAGCAGATGCTTTCCTCAGCTCTGCTTTGCCTGAATATGCAATATCTATGCTCTGTCATTGAGCTGTGATCATTCTGGCCATAAAAATAGCCACAAAGTCCTCTCAGTCACAAGAATTGTCCTCCATTGTCTTTATTTATAGTATGGACTCTAAAAATAGACACAAAGTTCTCCCAATCATCAAACTGTCCTCCTCTATCTGTATTTATTTTCTGGAATAGCCAGATAATGAGGAAAAGCTGAGCAAGAGAGATACATAAACAGACATTATTATTGATCTGATTTATCCTAGAACTGCTATCACTGGAAAAAAGGGACTTTTACACTGATACTTAAGATTCCTTCCCTACCCCACCTTATTACTTTTTCAGATATGAAAATGGCCCCAAAAAATAGCCCCAAAACTGCCTGAAAACGGCATGAAAATGGTCCCAAATGGCTGAAAACAGCTGAAAAACAGGCCAAAAATGGGCAGGAGCGGGGCCAGCCAATGGTGGGATTAGCTGGTTTGCTGCACTGGGCAGAATTTTAACAACCAGTTCACCTGAACCAGTCTGAATTAGCTGAAACCCACCTCTGATCACAGATATATGTACATATCCTGAGTAAACAAAAACCATGCATTTGTTCTCCTGTTATGACTTGCATTACTGTTGCTGTTACTGTTGCTTATTCTAGTTATTTATCTTTTGTAATAAGTAAACTAGGGTCTGCACTGTGGCTAAAAAAATGTACTGCATTATCTATTAACCACATTGTGTGTGTGGGGGGGGGAGGAAATGAAACTAAGAGTGTTCTGTCCCCACCCTCAGTCCTTCAGAATGGAAAACAGATCATAAAATGCATGCATATTAAATAAGAGATAATTACTCAATTTCAATGAGTCATGACATAAATTGCATTTCATTTTCCAGATTTAAAAATTGAGAGTAAAATTGATATCTATGTCTAGCTGCAATCTCCATGCTTTTTGAGTTGGAGGGCATCGTTATGATTTTGAACATAAACAAAATGGTTGCTGGAGAGTCATGGTCAGAGGTGGGTTTCAGCAGGTTCTGACCAGTTCTGGAGAACCAGTAGTGGAAATTTTGAGTAATTCAGAGAAACTACTGGCCCCGCCCCTATCTATTATCTGCCTCCCAAGTCCCAGCTGATCAGGAGGAAATGGGGATTTTGCAGCATCCTTCTCCTTGATTTGGGAGGAAATAGAGATTTTACAGTATCCTTCCCTTGCTACACCCACCATGCCACACCCACCAAACCACACCCACAGAACTGGTAATAAATTTTTTTGAAACCCACCACTGGACATGGCCATTCACAAAATGGCTGCCCTGAGGAACATAACTTGGTAAAAAGCAGTATTACTAGAATGTAACTTAACATTTCCTCTGACTAGCCTAGAAGATACTTCTTGCTATCCTCATTTAATGTACTAGGGAGGGCACTTGCAAATCAGATATAGGGTTGCAACCACTCATTTTGGTTTCCTAAGTATAGGTGGCCTATAAAGCTATTAAAATTCACAATGTGAGTAACAGACAATAGCTGGTGAGATCTAATACTACTTCTATTCAGTCACAAGTCAATTAGGTATCCTCAAACCAATCAGCCCTCAGCGTTCACTTATAATGATAATGGGTTAGATTTCAATTCCTTGGATGAAGGAAGGAGGATCATAAACATATATAAACTATTCAGATTAGATCTAAGTTAGCTGAAGTTAACTAAATCAAAACTGTGGTCTGTCTTAGTGATAGCTGATGTTTAGTCCCTTAAACTTAAATGCTCTGATTTATACCCAAAATCCTCTACAGGATTCCTCTTTTGTGTTCTGATTTCCCCTCTGGAAGGATTAGAGATTTCTGAAGCTGAGTTATATTTGGACTCTCATATGCCTCTTTGAGGCCACCAAGTTCTGGAACTTCCTTCTACTCATGTATATACAACTGAAAATAGTGCTTAAATATATTGTATCTGGGATGATTTCTTGATCACACCATCCTGATCTGCTGTGCGATGGTCCACTGAAGGAACTCTCAGACTGTACCAGTCAGGGAACTGCAAGACATTTTTCTAAATTGTGCCAAACTGGTTTCCAAATAAGATCAAATAATCTCCATTACTGAAGCAAACAGGATAGTCTATAAATTCTTAAATCACTGCAAAATTGCCACTTGCTTTATGGCTTATTTTATTCCACAGGTAGTGTTACTGTCACACAAAAGAAACTGGCTTCCTCCACATGTATTAATATGTTTGTGAAAATTGGCTAGATGTAGGATGGATCAGATGTAAACCCTACCTCTTTTGTAATACATCAACACATACATGTTCAAAAGGGACAAGGTTTGGATTGTGACACTACACCCACCATCTTGTAGATTTTGATATACAGTGCTGAATCTTACAGTATTTGGGGGGAGAGTAGCAAGAGTTTCTCAAGACAATGCAATCTCTTTTATCATTATGGGAAAACCCACAGTCTGTTGGTGGAATGCTCTGAGGAGACCATCACTTCATCAGCAGTGATGCCTACTGTTGATCAAACAAGCAACTGAAGTGACAGATAATCTAAAGAGGCCTATGGATGCTTCTGGGCAAGAAGTAGAAATTATGTCTAAGGGAAGCCTGCTGCCCTGCAAGGAAGACTGATAATATGGAAAGATACCAGGCGCTTCTGCTACCAAGAGACTAAGAATAAGATATAAGATATAAACAGATCTTATAGGAATTCTTAACCACTTAGCCTAAGGAAATCCAAAACCACTTTCAGGAAGCTGGCCCAAAGACCCAGGCAGGGAGTTTCCTGCTAAGACTGAAGGAAGACAAGAAAAAACAGCAGACAGTAATATTTATGCCAGGTTGTCACAATTCTGAGAACTCCAGCGGCAACAAAGGAATGTCACAATCCTGAGAACTTCAGCAGCAACAAAGGAATATGGTAATGAGAAGTAATATCTTCTTCAGGAATTCCATGCCCTTATATACCACTAAGCCTCACTGAAGATTTAACTTATGCCTGACCTGTAAATTTTGTAAGACAGAGCATCAGGGGAATACTCTAGTGAAGAGTGTGTAAATGGGAGGTTTAGGCTGATTTTTATGTACTTCAATCCAGGCAGAATTTTCTTAAACCATTTTAGAACCAGTCAGCATTAGGATGGGACAGAAGCTTTTATCTGTAGTTTTGATTATGGTCACCAAAGGAAACAAACCAACATGATACAGACGCTATCAAGTCACAAACCCTACAGGAAGTTACATGGATGCCTCTAATCTTCTTCTCTTTTTTTTAGCAAACCTGTTTGCTAGCTTTAAAGGTAATAATTAACAGCCCTAAAGGATTTTCAGTGAATCATATTGTTGAACTTTTCGGTATTGATCCTAGGTAATTGGTAACCTTATTTTTTCTAGGTGTTTTGAAATGCAATCTCTGAAATGTTTTGAAATGCACTCTCTGAAATGAACATAGCAATCAACATCACTCTTGCTCATTTGGGGTATTTTTGAAGCAAATGGAATCCTAATGTTTTAAAGCTATTTGATGTTTGGAATCTACATTTCTGTGGTGTCTTAAATGCAATCCCTTAAAATTAAATGGACATAGAAGCCACAGCAATACAAAGAGAACAGGAGTGAGGCTTTGTGCTATCAAAGTTGCCATCTTGAATTTTGCACTCTTCAATTTAGATTAATTTTAAAAGCCTTTCAATTCACAAAGTGGCCAAAAACAAAACAACAAGACATTTTTCCCCATAGCAATTATCAATCAGGAAGAAAAGGTAAGCAAGAGATTCAGGGAGAGAAAAGACAGAAAGGGGAAGGCAACTGAAAGGAAGAGAGAGAAATGACATCAGAGAAAAGAAAAGGGATGCCCTAATTTTTGGCAATCCATGTTGCTCTCCTAGACTTTGGACTCTGGATCTAATGGGCTATGGAGGCCTTATTTAGTAACCAATGGTCTTCTGGCAGGGAAAGATGGTCAATCAGTGATGGTCAATCAGTATTGTTTGAAGAATTTCAACATCTAAAAACCAGATTGCCTGTGTTTCAGACATTTCCTGATTCTACTGTATCTGTAGAGAGAGCAAAGAAAGGCTAATGATGCTAAAATCCTCAAAGACAATTGTTCTGCTGAAGAAAAAGACATTCTCTGTTTTCCTCTTACTAACTCAAGGAAGCACTATAATAGTATTATACCATAGATACCTTGGATTTCTGTTCTAAAATCTTGTCTCTTGAGCTTTCCTGAAAAGCTATTTTTTCAGAAAAAGAAAAAAGCCCATCTCAGCAATAAACTTCAAATATCTAATTATTTAAAGGCAACTAGAATATATTACATTCATTGGAAAAACTTAGGTGAAAGAAGAGTCAAAGAATTAAGAGAAAAAGATGGAGGTTAGAGAACTAATCAGGAATTTAGCTTGAATGGAAGGGAGGGTTACCTTTTATGAATTGTAGCAGCACTTTTTAGTACATTAAAGAGCAATTCAGTTGCATATTTGGAGAGGCCACAGTCAAATTTTAGGGGCTACCGGCTGTACACCATTTTTTTTTTGAGACAAACTTTTGGATTGTTGAAGGGATTTCATCAGCTACATTGCATCTTAATTATAGCTTTTTTCATATTATAAAAATGAATTACAACTTAACCAGTGAGTTTCAAATTAAAATTCTTAGTTTCATGGTTGTGTTCTTTAAATAGATAGAAGGAACATGTTCTCCTCTTCCCTTCAAACCTGCATCCTGTGCTTATCTTGTGGATTGAACTCTTTCTCTTCACACACCTTCCTTAACTAGGATATTCACAACTTATTGATGGACAACTCTCCATTTTTCTTTGATTTGATGTTTATTAATTTCCCCCAATAGTGTATTTTTTATACTACAAGAAATCTTGGTTATACAGATGGCTCCTAATAGAAATGCTCAGAATGAAGTTACATAGCAAATATCTATGTAGTTTAGCTTTAACTGTAAAATTCAATTCATCTATATCACCATAAGCAACTAAACCATTTCCCCCACTAGACCAAAGGTTAAAGAAGGCAAAATAACAAATGTCAGATAGACATACATGGGATGGAAAAGAAATTCTGTACAGATTTTAAGGGGTATAAATGATATTATTTGTAAAAATGGCCTCTGGTGCAGCCTGAAAGTATTTGCCTTTCCCTGTCTTATTCCTCAAAAATTCACAAAAAGGAGGATATTTGGAAAAAATACATTCAAAAATGCCCATTTTGAGGGAACAAATATACAATCTCCCTGAAGATGAACTTGGCTTCTGATGACAACATGGATATGTCCATGCTGTTTTTTAAAATAGTAATACTGAGATGGTTTCTTATTGATGTCTTTAGGGATTAGCCTACATCATTGAAATTTCCTGGTAGTTTTTCATACAAGTGATATTACCCTTAGATTTTTGAGATCAAATACGGTTAACTAGATTTTACCACTAAGATAGCTGATGTATTTGGAGTAGTTGGATATAAAAAAAAATGCAGATATTTATAATTTAGAAAAAATACCCAAATGAAAACTAAAAAAGGGAATTTTAAGAAAGTTGTAAACATCAAATGTGCCTTGTCCAGCATTAAAAAAATATACAAAGAAAATTTTGATGGAAAGTAAATATGTTTTGCACACCACGGACTCCAAGATGGATCCAGTTCAGGTTGACCTGTTTATCCTAATATGCAATTGTCTAAACCTTAAAGCTCAGTTAGTTCAACTCTGCTTATATTTTGATGTGGATTTGCAGGAAAGTTGATTCAAATGTGTGATATAGGATTTGTCTACACCTTGTACAAAATATGTACTATCTAATATTTTTCACACTGAGAGGCACTTCATCCTGTTTGTATATTGGCTTTTTATTATTGTATTAGGGATTGGAAATATAATTTCTGGATCTAACTTTTTATTATACAACAAGTGTGATCTGTAATGGTTCTAATGGGGATATTAAATCAAATGTTGTTACTTATAATGAACAATAATGAAAACAAGGAGTTTGAAAGCAATTTCCCAAAGCCTCATCTTGTAAGAACACTAGTATCATGGATATCTCTAAGTACATCTATGTTGTCTTCAATCCTTGTCTAATTACTTCAATTTTTGGGATAGTGAGGATAGTTGTATGATTAATTCAAGAGATGCCAGCAAAAGTCTCTAAACATTCATGCTAGCAACATGAAAACTGATGACATGGTTATGACATCCTATGAGCGGATCACAGAATGACCTATTTCTGACAGTTGCTTCTGTTTTTCTAGCACTTAAGCTTTTGTCCCTTCCCAGTCTGTCAGTCAGTGCTGCTTGCCGAAGGATCAGATGGGGCTTTCACGAGGCAGATGGTGTCACCTTCAGGGTCCCCTTCAGAGGCGATTTGTTCTCTTCCCCGACTATACATTTCTCGAAGGCCATTGACCATATTTGACCCAACACTGATATTTTCCATGAAGGGCTCTGTAAGAACAACAACAACAAAAAAAAGTTACATCCAGCTTCTTTTTCGATTGGATCTTCTTTTCTTCTAATTGTTTCTTCACATCTTTTAATACTGAACCATTTGAAGCATCCCCTGGTCATGTGACCATGATTTACAATGTTTCTTTTGGAAACTGGTGTTTACTTCTAGTTTCGGCAAAAAAATACCCCACAGCAATCATGACCACAACATTAGTAACTGTGGCACTTGCTTTATGGCCGCTGCAAAAATTGTTGTAAAATCTGGTGTGGTCACATGGCAACCTAGAATCAAATTCAGATGTACTGGAGAAAAGAAACAGATGTCATCTTCTGAAACTCTGAATGTTAAAGCAATTTGTTACATAGGGAAAGATGGATGCTCTTTGAATGAGCTTTCTCCTGATCCAGTTGGGTCAGTAATCCAAGACTTTGAAAGACATGCAGTCCCTAACCCATGTTTACAAAGCCTTTTCCTCTAGAATTCCTTTGATCTTATAGCAGGGTTCAAAAACAAAGCAGAATGGGGCAATTCTAAGATTTTGGGCTCGACTAGGGTTTAAAAAAAGTCAGAAGACAATGGCAATTTGCTTCTATATTGCTTCAAAGAAAATTTAAAGGATGTGCACATATAATCACCAGATGTCAAGTTCAACTATTTATTTATTTTATTTATTGGTTCGATTTATATGCCGCCTTTTTCTGGAGACTCAGGGCGGCTTACAATGTGTTAAGCAATAGCCTTCATACTTTTGTATATACCTGCTTAGTAGGGCTTTTGGCCCCTCCTAAGCGGTGTTCTTTTTTATACAAAGTCAGTTTATTGCCCCCACAATCTGGGTCCTCATTTTACCTACCTCGAAAGGATGGAAGGCTGAGTCAACCTTGAGCCTGGTGAGATTTGAACTTGCAGTAATTGCAGGCAGCTGGTGCTACTTAACAGCACTTTAGTCTGCTGCGCCACCAAGGCTCTTGTACTATCCTATATGTGTGTAAATAAAGTAGATAGGTAAGGATCCAATTAACTATTTTTATAAAGAAAGAAAATGTTATTGGTGGTTAAGAATAATCTGGATTACAATTTGGATTTAAGGCTATGTAGAATTTTTATACCAATAATTATTTGAAGCATTATAGGGACAAAACAAGAATTCTAGTGCATGCTTTATAAGATAGCAATTTGGATCTAAAACGATTTATCCAAATCAAGAGGAAATGAATCAATTGAAGTAGCACATTATTTGGAATCTGCTATTAGAAACTATGCATATATGCTTCCATTCCAGGCCCCCGTATACTCTCATATTAGACAGTTTTTTTATTGTTATTGGCCTGGGCCTCATGCTATGTGCCTTCAGATTACCTTTCCTTGAAGACCATAGGACAGGGTTTATATATCTTCAGATGTTATATTAGCTAGTAACTAATAGCTTATTGAGACTCTTCAGGCATAAGTATTCTCCAAGGCCTGTGGGTTCAAATCTCATTAAAGAGTTGAATAAAAAACATCTAATATGGAAGATGCCTACATCAGAAGATGTCCAATAAGGACAAAACATATAGTGTAGGGCTGTCAAATTCCCGGCCTATAGGTCAGATGTATCATGCACTGGCCATGCCTATGCCCTGTTTAGCGAAGGGGGAACAGTCCTGATATGTCATATGATGCTGTTGTGACAATGTCAGTTTGACACTCCTGATATGGTGCCTTCTATTGGTCACTAGCTAATATAGCATCTAAAGGAGCAGACTTTGTCAGCTATTCTGCAAATTGTGAACCTGTGTACATAAGCAAATAAAATCTGGGGGATCCTGCCAAGTGGTCAAATGTTGAAAAACACTTATTAACTTCTTACCTCGGCTCCGTGTGAAAGGATTCAGTGCAGATAATTTCACTCCCTTTTTCCACAGGTAAAACACTAAACCCCCAATAAGTAAAATAATAGCTAGCAGGCTTAAAATGACTGCAGCAGTTCTGCCTGAGCCTGGAAAGTGGGCAAGAAGAAAAGTCAAGAGTAAGAGAGCTGCATTATTGTTCCCTTCCTGATCATAATTCATAAAATTTGGAAAGGATATATACCTGACTGTCCTTCACATACGGCTCCCGCATAGGAGCCACAGATGCATTTCTTGGAAGCTGTGGTTGCGGCTTGGCACTCAGCAAGGGATGATTCTGTTCCTTTACATTTCACATTATCCAGAAACGCTGGGCCAACACCCATGCCATATTCATTGCCCTTGGGCACAGACAATGCTGAACCGCAGCCCAATTGTCGACATATCACTGTGGCTTCCTTAAGACTCCAACCTGAATCCCCAATAGAGAGCCAGGTGCCATTATAGTTCAACTCTACTCGTCCAGTACAGGCATTGGGGCCATTTGCTAATCGTACATTCAGGGGACCTAGAAAACAAAAGAGAGTTAACTTGATCTTCCCAACTGATATAGTGCGTCCCGGTGCTCAATTTGAGATTATTTCAGCCACAATTAAGATTTTGGAAATATTTGTTTTCCTCTCTAGCATTCTAAGTGTGAATTTAACAGAATAACAGATTTGGAAGGGACCTTGGAGATTTTCTAGTGAATTCCTTGCTCAAGCAGGAAAACCTATACCATTTGATTCTTCTTCAATTAACCCCTTCAATTAACTTAACCCTATAGGAGGCATAGGGAGTGGCCTTAAAGGATAGAAGAAAAAGCTGCTACCAACATGATAATCAGGAAAGTGGGACTTTAGCTTGGGCCAAGGAAATAACTCGAGAAATTGTCTCAAATAAGCCCCTCCCTAGTTCATCCAAAGATAAAGGGAGGGAGGGAGGGAAGGGGGAAGCAGATTCAGACTTGCAGATTCTGCTACAAAAGCTTTACCATAAACATTTTTGTGTTGAATTGATGTTTTACTGACAAAGAAATAAAGGGAGACTACTATAGATCTATTTTAAGCTATTTAGCTCTCATCAGCTAGACATACCCTTCTAGGATCCAAGCCCATGCTACTTATATATTAAATAGATGTATTAACCTCTAAGCCATGGACCCTCCCCACTTTGTTGTTTATACCAGGAAAAAGATTAAGTATTTTTTTATCAGGGCAACCTGGTCTACCCAATTATGGAACGAAGCATACTGCCATAAATAGTTCTGATTTATATGATATTGTTTCTTAGACTGATCTACCAAGTAAAGCTGATAAACTCGATCCTTCTAAAGCTGTTGAATTTTTCAATTTTATTATATAATATAAACAAAAAGACTTTTTCCATGATTGGCACAGTTTTGTAAAGGAAAGGCTTTCACATAAATTCACCTGATTCAATTATAAATTGGAAATTAATAGTGAAAACATTTAATCAAGCAACAAAGCACATCAGGCAGCATATACATGTTCTTAAAAGTTCATTTAAAGTACAAGTTGGAAGATGTCAGTAAAATAGTTTACTGTTTTTTGCACTATGTTTAGAGCAACTTATTAAGTGACAAATTGGAAAGAGGGAAGAAACATTTAAATAATGCTTCAGAACATTAGTGCAAAACTTTTTTGGGCAAATAATTGGATGGCGATAGAACAAAACTCATTAAATTGCATTTTAATTAACTTGAACTACATGATGACTAAGATAGTAGTCATTCACAAAATTAGTCTCCATTTATTTAATTAGATTCTTCGATCACACAAACAATTACAGTTCAGTAATAACTTTAGAGAGATTTAGCTAAGGCATCAAGATATCACTTTGGGGAAGGCTGTATACCCATTCTAATGTATTTAGTGGGAAAGTACAGATTCTTGATTTATGCTTGGTTCAGACCAAAAGAGGGAGATCAGAAACTTTAAAGTAACCACAGTTCCCTGCTAATCTAAACTTGGAAAGTATGATTTGTTAAAACAGACCAAAAACCAAAACCACAGTTTGCTCTGGCTTACTTTTTTGCAAACTAGTTTAAAGGGGAGGATATCTGTTAGACCATGTCTAGCCCATTGATCAAAAGGAGTAAAATAAATTGTTTTCAGTAGCTTTGCTTTTTTGAACATACCTACTAAGTCTTTAAGTGAGGACTAAGGGATGAGAAGGCCCATCTCAGATTTGCTTTGAAGCTCAGAGTGCTCCACTTATATCCTTGTGGGGAAATTTATAACTGCACAGACTTTTGTACATAATGCAAAATCTGTAGTTACATCTAAATTGGTTTAAATTTATGGACTGGCATATTAATGCAGAAGAAGTACTGCCTTCTTTGAAGAAGGATATGCAATAACAAACTGAAAAAACAAACTGTAGGAAACAAAGATGTGTATGTTGTTTTGGCTCTAGTTCATCTGTCTTCCATATTGCTTTCCATTCTCCATATTTTTGATTGAGCATTTGAGGTTAAATACAACTCTGGAACATTTAAAGGATTCTGAACCTCCCTTTATTCCAAACTGAAGTTGTGTCCGCGCACACACATACACTTAAACTTTAAGCTACAAGCATTTGTATTTAATTTGCAATTTCGTCCAACTGTAAGTTACCTGAGCAAACTGCACCAGCATCTTCTGAATGATCACAGTCATGCTCTCCTACAGAACGTCCTCGGCAATCTTTGATTGACATTTCTGTCCCAGTGCAGTTCACGTCATCCAGAAAAATAGGGCCAGTACCTCTTCCAAAGTGTGCCCCAGACTGGGATTCCAAAGGAATGCCACACTTTAACTGCTTACACACCACAGCTACATCTTGAAGGCCCCATCCATCATCACATACAGTTCCCCATTGCTGTTGGTGATAGACTTCAACCCGGCCTGCACAAGAGTTTGGACCATCTTCTAGTCTTATCTTTGCCACATTAAGGGTGAAAGTGTCTACAGAATAAACAGATTTCATACAATTTAAACAGTGTGTCAAGACTTTCAATCCACTAAAATAGAGCTTCCCCCCTTCCCCTCAGAAAATCTTTCTGATTACCTCCCCAAATCCAAGTACGAGACAGTATAAGTACAAAGTCTCTCCAAACATGTTGTGATAGTTGAGGGCTGGAGGAAGAAATGGAAGAGGAGAATCCTATAGGCACTTCTCTGCTAGTCTCAGAAGAATTAACCTTCCTCTTCCACCCAAAGTTTTGCATTCCTACTTGTTCTCACCATTCAATTCAGAAAGAATCTCCTCTTACTGAGAATAGACTCATGACTTCTGTTCTCAAAAGATTCCTCCCCACTCAATTGCCTCAAAATCTTTTATCTTTTAGGCATATCTTTAGGCATGAAAAAAATCTGGAAAGCCACTAAACAGCAGCATCTCTCCATTACCATGTAGTGGTTACCCAGATGTTTGCAACTCAGATAGACCTGGCATATTCTCTTTACCCTCATTCTTCATGAGCTGGAAATTGGTGGAGGAGGAGAATCAAAAGAGAGAAATATCAGGCCTCAGCAGATGCCAGGGAAGCTGAATGATCTGAATCTTTCACTACCAGCAAAAATTGGGACAACAGGAATAGCAAGAGAGAAAGAACTGGGAGCAATAGTATCCCTTTACTCCTTCCTTCCTTCCTTCCTTCCTTCCTTCCTTCCTTCCTTCCTTCCTCCCTCCCTCCCTCCCTCCCTCCCTCCCTCCCTCCCTCCCCACTCATTTGACAATGTTCCTATTGAGGCCCAGCACTCCAGGCAATCACCAGAAATTTCTCCTAAGACATGTAGTATTTATTTGTTTTCATATAGTAATTATTCACTTTTTTGTGGCCCAGGTGCAGGAATCTTTCCCTGAGCAATGAGGTTTGATGAAGATGTGAGGCAAGGGAAAGGAATGGAAACTTCTTGTCTCCAGGCTCTAAGAAGTCTAGCTCACTTGCCTTCATTCTACTTCTATCATTGCCTCTGTCTAGCAACTTAGTAGAACATTAGAGTCTTTGGTGAAAAAAAGAAGTTGAAGGCTCATCCTGTCTGTTAGAAATGAATGCAAGGAAGATACAAAGCAAGGAAAGCTAAGATTTGCCAAGAAACACAACTGAGCTAATATGGCAAAATGCATTGATTGAGGTAACTAAAGTCTGGGTCCAATTTGTTGCCAATGTCTTTGCATCAGAAAGCTCTGCCATCAGGAAGTCTTAAAGGAAGATGTTAAACACAGCTGTCGACTGCTTTTCTTTATAGTATGCAAACTTTGTATCTCTTATGAATTAAGGGTGTCCAACCTAAGTGCCACCTCATTTTTGCAATCTCAAAATATTTCTTCCAAATAAAAAATTTGGTAGTAAATATATTGTGTTTCCTTGGAATTCCTATAGCATAGGCATATTATACATCTGCAGGAGTTAGCATGCTTCCCTAAGAAATTTTTTAAAAATACCAAATCTGGTGAGGTCAATGCCATACTGAGCTAAATTGAAAAGTGATGAAGCTGGGTGGCTGAAGAAAATAAGAAATTTTAGTAATGTCAATTAAGATTCTCAGTCAATCAGGTACAATTGTCTGGAAGTTGAGTGATGGCAACTGGAGTTCTTTTCTTGTTGGTTTGAAATGTTTAACCATTTATCCAAGTAGCTTCTTCAGTCTGAGCAAATTGGTTAGGGAGACCTTATATATGTCCTCTTGGAAGAAGTTTCATTTCTTCCCTAATCTAGATAGACTCATTGGGTGAATAGGTAAAGAGTCACTACGGTGTAAGTGTTACAACTCCTAAATCCTTTATCCTAGGTCCGTGATGACGAACCTGTTGCAATATGCCAGAAGTGGCACGCAGAGCCCTCTCTGTGAGTACGTGCACAGTCACCAGCTGCTCCTCTGGTTTCTGGTGCGCACATGCATGCCAGCCAACTGGTCTTTGTGCATGCCAGAGCACCAGAAAACGGCCTGAAAAAGGCCCAATAAACAGCCAAAAAATAGGCCCGAAAAACAGCCAAAAAATAGGCCATTTTTGGGGCTCTTTTTGGGCCTTCAGGCTACTTTTTGGGCTGTTTTCAGGCTGTTTTTCAGGCCTTTTTGAGGCTGTTTTTGGGCTGTTTTCAGGCCTTTTTTGGGCCACTTCCAGGCCATTTTTCAGGCCGTTTTTCAGGCCCAAAATGGCCCCAAAACAGCTTGGAAAACAGCTTGGAAAATGCCTCAGAAAACGGCCAAAAATGACCAAAACCCAGGCATTCGCATGCCAGCCAGATGGTCTTTGGATTTCCGGTGCTCTAGTACATGCACATGCACACACATGCACACATGTTCCAGTTTGGGCATCCAGTGCCAAAAAGGTTTGCCATCACTGTCCTAGGTGATTCCTTAAATATAACTTCTCTGATGAACGTTTGAAGTGGTTTTAAATTTAATCCTCCTGGGAATTGATGAAAGAGCAACATGAAAAAGGAGAACAGGTTCTATCTGAGGCTTCCACCTCTATTGAGGAAAAAATTTCTTCCTCTCTCAAAATGTGAACATTATTGTCCTCAAAACAGAATAGACAATGGACTGCAAAAATATCAAACAAGTCCTAGACTAAATCTTACCAAAAATATCACTAGAAGCCAAATCACCAAACAGAGACTTCAAGTAATATTTGTTTCAGGTGATCCTTTGGCTAAGGCATGCAACCTGACTCATTTGAAAAGTCAATCATACTAGGAGTGATCAGCAAAAAAAGAAAATGGTGAGATTCTAGTATCCGCTGACTGGACACTATAAAGGATTACACTATAAAGGATAACCATAATGGACCTGAAGGAGGTTGTGTGAGACAGAGAGGAATGGAGAATGCTAATCCATAGAGTAACCAAGAATCAGACATGACTGAATGATTGACAACAATGAGAGCAAAACTTTTTCTGAATTATGCCCCAAATAATATTTCTAAAACAATGCCACAATTTAGATGTTTATATATACAACAGTTATTGTATATCTGGAAGGTCCTATTTGTCATCTCACATGATCTCCATTGCTATTGGTTTACCCCCTTTTAATACATTTAATAAAGCTATGTGCTATGAAAACTTAGTCACTAATGCAAAAATGATCACAAATCACAACTTTGCCATAATGAATTACCTGAACAAATAACACTTGCATCTTGACCATGAACACAGTTGTTTGTCCCCTGGGTATTTGCTCTGCATTCTTGAAGGGAATTTTCTGTGCCTTCACAATTGACATCATCCATCCAGATGCGACCTAATCCACGCCCAAAATGAGCTCCTTTTGGAGCCGATCCAGCACCTCCACAGCCCAATTGCCTGCACACAACTTCTACCTCTTTTAAGTCCCAAGTCCGGTCACAGACTGTCCCCCACTCATCACTCCCAGATGTTCGAACCTCTACTCTTCCACTGCAGCGATTTGTGCCATTGACCAGCCTGACATTCTCTGAAAATAAAGCATCAAAGGGATAAATGGATTAGCCTCCTAGAGAATGTGTTTGGAAAGATTTATGTGAATAAATCTTTTCCCAAGAGACAAGAAGCATGTTTCAAACTGAGGTGGACCTACAATGCTCTTCAGAGAAACCAACAAGAACAGAACAAGTGAGAGAGATGATTTACTTTGTAAGCATATGCTTTACTTCAGATTATGGAGATATATCAGTATTATTTTTACTAAATTCCCTCTATCCTTGACTGATTGTAAATATGACAGATTATACCAATATGTTTCCAGTGTGTACCTGAGCCTTCTTTAGTTTTTTTCTCTTGCTGGAATTGATTATATTTGCAATGCAGAACATGACCATATACTACCCTTTCTAGAAATTAGAGTTACCCTGAAGTAGGTGGCCAATAAATTTTATAAATGAATAAACAAAATAAATAAATAATCTCTTTTTCCTGTGGAAGGAATCATTATTGGCTGGCAAAATATAAGAGACTGGACTGGATAAGATCAAATACCAATCTATTCAATATCCTATTTCACACAATTGTGAAACAGATGCCCTTCTGAAATGCACAAGTAGAACATCAGTGCAATACTCTATTACTCCTACTGGGCCTTATTCAGAAGACGTTGGTGGACAACATGAGACAATTTACAAAGTTCAAACCAAAAACCTCTCTGAAGATCAGGAATCATTGAAGATTGGAAATCAGTCTGATTATCTGTCTTTGTGTTGCTTTCTCCTAATATAGAATACATGTTCAAAGCCAGTCACCTGAACATACAACACCAGCATCTTCCCCGTGGTTACAGTCATTAGTTCCCCAAGGCTTGGCCTTGCAAGAAGTGAGGGAAGTTTCAGTTCCTGTGCATTCAACATCATCCAGCCAGATAGCATCATTTCCTCGACCAAACCGAGCTGAACGAGGGGCAGAAATGGCTGATCCACAATCAAGGTATCGACACACAACAACAGCTTCATTCAAGTCCCAGTTGTCATCACAAACAGTCCCATATTGCTGGAGATGAAATACTTCTACCCTCCCGGTACATCGGTGTGAGCCATTGACTAGTCTGAGCTCCACTGGATCTGAAAAGATAGAAGATATTATCAAAAGACCATTGACATTGAGGAAATTCCCCACAAAATTGATATGAACATTTTTACAACTTTTATAATCTTTGGCAAGATTGTCTCAAAATTCTTACAATCCTTGTCTCCACTAATATTTTTTTTGGTGGGGGAACATGTCAAGGAAGTCTGCTATAGACTGAGATAAGGACAACTTATTTTGATAAACTTGCATTTTTCAAATGTTGCTTACCTGCAAGCACACATGGTAGAAACTCTCATTATAAAAAAATCAGCAGGTGTGTTTGGAGGTGCTCATTATTTTTTGAACCCGGTAATTATCTCTCCAAATATATTCTGAATTGCTTTAGATTATTTTTTTTCTAATCTAATTAGAAGATAATTAATTATATTTTCTAATCATCTTTAGAATGAACTGGATCATGAAATATGCTTGGCATAATTCTTGTTTGTTTTTAATGAAAAGAAGGACTAGGGATGGCCTGATAGCAGCGTTCTAATATCTAAGGGGGTGCCACAAGGAAGAGGGTCAAGCTATTCTCCAAAGCACCTGAAGGCAGGAGAAGAAACAATGGATGGAATCTAATCAAGGAGAGAACCAACCTAGAACTAAGGAGAGATTTCCTGATAGTGAGAATAATAAAACAGTGGAATGGCTTGTCTCCAGAAGCTGTGAGTGCTCCAACACTGGAGGTCTTTAAGAAGAGATTGGATAACCATTTGTCTGACATGATATAGGCTTTCCTGCCTAAGCAGAGGGTTGGACTAGAAAAACGCTGAAGTTCCTTCCAACTCTGTTATTCTGTTTTTCAGCATCAGATTTTCATTGCTTGTGACTGTTAGGCTTTGGGTTTATGGTAACAACCCACTGTTACTTCTCCTTTCTTTGCAATTTAGTTATTATTAACTATCATTAAATTAAATGTGACTTTGATATTATTAACTGTTATGAACAATTACATTTTTTTTTCTGTAGCTGGACACTGGAAGAACATTACTGAAGATTACTCCTCCTTTCTTTTCTTTGTTGGGAGCTTGTAAGGCGGTAGGTAGGTAGGTAGGTAGGTAGGTAGGTAGGTAGGTAGATAGATAGATAGATAGATAGATAGATAGATAGATAGATAGATAGATAGATATTATTTCTCAGCTTGCTGGAAGAAAAAGCTGCAGAAAATTTGACAGATAATGGAGTAAAAGAAATTCCACCCTCCCCACCTTTTTAAATAAGCAATTAAAGAGAAATGTTAAGGTAAATATTAGTTATTGCAAGAATTTTGGAATAAGAGATTGGTATACCTCTTATTAAGCCTTAATAGTTAAAGTTGTAAAACTATTGCGTCTTTTGTCTTAAAGATAAAATTATTCAGCACAAGAATTAATAGATAGTTTCACTTCTCATCCAAGAAGATCTTAAGTTCTAACAGTTACAACTGAAGAAGCTTCTTGGATAAGAAGCAAAATGTTTTCAAAGAAAAAGCCAAGAAAGTTCAGTTGCCTTTTGAAAAAAGCATCTTTGGGACAAGTTTTTTATCCATTAAGCCTAAAAGAAAAGTTTCTGGTATCTTCTCTGTTAAAATATAAATCGAATTACTGTTGTTAAATGCCAGCATTATTTTATTAAAAAAGAATATTTTAAATTACAATTTTATGTAAATTTTAAGTCCTTCGTCCACATGTTTTTCCCTTTGTTCAAGCATTATATTATATCCAAAGCTCTTTTGTCATTGGATCATACAATGTTTCACATACTTATTCTCCAAATTCTATTTCAATAACAGTTTATACACCTTAGCAATAATATGTTTATTATTACCACACAATACAAGTTCTAATTCATTTTTACAAGGTCAAGTCTATGACTTCTAAAGTCTAATTTAAATCTTGTTTTATATTTGTTCAAAACCCTTAGGATGGCATGTCTAACAAAGTGATTGTTGAACTCAACATTTATTTTAACATTGTCATACCATAATAGGCATGCTATCCAAATTTTAGTTCATGGGCCTCTAATTCCAATAGTCTCTTGTTTTGGAGAATCACCCACTATTTTATCCAGACAAAACAACAGAGAATTCAAAATTTGGTAAGCCCAAACTTCCTCGTTCTTTAGCATCTTGTAATAGTTTATATGTAATATTTGGTTTTTTTTCTTTCCATATGAATTTGGAAATATCCATTTGCCATTGTTTAAATGGAGTGTCAGTAATAAGTATCAGTAAAGTCTGAAATAAAAATAACGTATTTGGTAGGGCATTCAACTTAATTACAGAGATTCTACCCAATAAGGATAATTGCAAATGAAAGGTCTTTTTAAATATAATTTTGATATCAAGTACATTGTTTTGAAACAATTTAAAATTTGTATTTATCCATATAGCCCCAAGATATTTCATTTTTCCCCATCTTGAAACCTGACATTTTTTGTTAATATTTCATAATCCTGAAAAGCCTTATTCTAGACAAGCATTGTTATTTTCTGTTTATTTGTTTTGAAGTCTGTTAATACTCTAAAGTCATTTAGGTTCTTCATCAAGTATTCTATACCTGTTTTTGGGCCTTGCAAAAATATGACTAAGATTATGTTTATATACTATGTGAACTATAAGAACTCTGGGTCATTTAACAAACCACTTTTTTTAAAAAAAAGGAAAACATCCTTGTCTTTGTGTGATTTGAGAATCTGGTAACCGAAAGACTCCAGTCTGATTTAATAAATATCAGAGTGAAGTGCTCTTCACTAAGTTAATGCAACTAATACATTAAGTTGCATTAGCAGAGGGATACAATCAAGATCAAGTTAGGTACTAATATTATAAAGCCTTAGTAAGACCACACCTAGAATACTGCACACAGTTTTGGTCACCACACTATAAAAAAGATGTTGAGATTCTAGAAAGAATGCAGAGAAGAGTACCAAGATGATTAAGAACAGTTGCAGTAACTGGGCATGGCTCGTCTAGTGAAGGGAAGAACCAGTGGAGACATGACAGCAATGTTCCAATATTTGAGGGTCTGCCACAGTGAGGAGAGGGTCAAGCTATTTTCCAAAGTACCTGAAGGCCAGACAAGGAATAATAGATGGAAACTGAACAAGGAGAAATTCAACCTGGAAATAAGGAGAAATTTTCTGACATTGAGAGTAATCAACCAATGGAACAGCTTGCCTTCAGACATTGTGAGAGCTTCATCACTGGAAGCTTTCAAGAAGAGATTGGACTGCCATCTGTCAGAAATGTTGTAGGGTCTGCTTGGGCATGGGGCTGGACTAGATGACCTACAAGGTCCCTTCCAACTCTGTTAATCTGTATCTACTGTATCTGTATCTACCCTTCCTGATGTGAGTTGATGTCCAACCATGAATTCATTTAAAATATGTGAGAATTGCTGATCTATCTTAAAACTACCTTGTTGGAGGTTAGAGGAACAATTTATAGATTAGCAAAAATATTATTTCAAAATATTTGTATTTTATGTTTCCTCCATATTAAATGTCTTTTCATTATAGATTTATGAAGATTAGAATTTATATCCCAATATTCAGCCATTATAAATATCCCCAAAACAATTGGAATAATTAAAATAAAAATTCCAAATCATCTAAAACTAACCTGCACACTCCACCCCAGCATCTTCTGCGTGGCGGCAGTTATTTGTTCCCCAAGCGCTTGCTGTGCATTGACTGAGGGAGTTTTCTGATCCATGGCAGTTCACATCATCTAGCCAAATTGGCCCTGTTCCCTCTCCAAAATATGCCTTTCTTCGGGCTCTCAAAGCAACACCACAGCCCATTTCCCTGCAGATCACCTCAGCATGCTTGATGTCCCAGCGGTCATCACACACAGTCCCCCACTGTTGGTCATGGAAGATTTCCACTCTTCCTGAACAGCGGCTTACGCCGTTCACCAGTCGGAGTTCTGGTGGGAAATAAAAGGTTGAAAAATGACAACATCATAAAATAAATTGTTGGCAAGGTTCTTGAATATCTAACTGCTGGGCCATTCACCCAAATGGAAGGAATATAAGAAAAAAAAAACAGCTTCTTGTTAGGAAGCATGCTTTTAATCATCATCATCATCACATCTAATATTCTCCATAAAGAGAAATTCTTGACCCTTTTTGCTTCCAGAAATCTTAGTTCCTGACGTTTACAGAAGAGCAACTTTTAAGAAGCAAATTACTTATTTGAAATGAATAAATTCATCCTTACTGAGGAAACATCTTTTTAATCTCAATATATAAGAAATAGAAGCAACAAGAGATGAGAAGGAACAAATACTAATTGAATAGGCACTTAAATCTTCTTCAACTCAACAGCTACACCTGACCATTGGCTAACATACCAAGAACCATATATATAGGGCAATCGTATGTAGGCAGCCAAAATCTAAATGAACAATAGATGCAGAGGAAAGAAAAGAAAAGCAATGCTAACTTATTATTTGAGTCAGTCTCCAAACCCTTTATATATTACCCCTCCTTAAGTGCATACCTGAACATACAGCACCAGCATCTTCTCCATGGTTGCAGTTGTGTTCTCCCCAAGATTTTAGACGACAGTCACGAAGACCAGCTTCTGTTCCTTTACATTTGACATCATCCAGCCAAATGGGATCATTTCCTTTTCCAAATTTTGCTCCTCGTGGGGCTGCTAAAGCTATTCCACAGCCCAGTTCCTTGCACACAACTTGTGCATTGGTGAGCTCCCAGCCATCGTCACAGACTGTTCCCCACTGTTGGTTGTGCAGCACTTCAACTCTCCCAGAACAACGACTTGTACCATTCACCAATCTGACTTCATATGGGTCTGAAATGGTTAGAGTCACTGTTATTTTCCTACTTCTTTTCCTGTATGAAAGCTAGATAGAATCAACACAAGAGTTTGGACCTATATTTGATTTAATGTGTCACACTCAGTCATAATATGCCTTGTTTGATTGTGATTTGTGAATGGTCAAGAATTAAATGGTCATGATTTATTCTAACATAGTAACTCATGATCTGACATTGTTGACTTCAACTGTTGCTTAGCATACTGTGTCATCAGAAATATGCAGTTTGTTTATCATTTCCTGATTTATTCCTGATCAGTTTTATGCCCTGCTCAATATTTTAATGAAGCCTAAAGGACAAGGACACAAGACAACAAAACTGCTAAAATGGAACGAACTAGAAACTGGCCAAACAAAATATTACTTTCTTGATCTGCAAGATTTTTTTTGTGTGTGGGTGTGGTCTTGAAACAAGCCATGGTTTATAGGGATGATTGAAAGCATGTGTTTTTAAACAATTTCCAAGCTCCTAATTAGTGGCATCCATGGTATGGAGCAGGGAGATTGTTGAAGGAGAGGAAAGATGGCATCTAAATCCAAGACTGCTCCTAGGTATAGTATGTGTGTTGACATCCACAGAGGACAAAGTTTGTACAGTAATGCTACAATTGCCGCCTTGGTTGTTGTGACAATGTCTACATTCTCCCCTCATGTTGCAGCTGATTATTAGATTTCTTACTTTTTTTTCACTAGGACTAAACAGTTCAAGCAGTCTTTGATGTGATACGTAGTCAATGTTGACTTTAAATGGCAGGTGGTTGTCAGATAATTGCTTGTTCATATACCAATTTGGATATCTACCTCTTTCTTCTTTCTTTCTTTCTTTCTTTCTTTCTTTCTTTCCTTTCTTTCTTTCTTTCTTTCTTTCTTTCTTTCTTTCTTTCTTTCTTTCTTTCTTTCTCTCTCTCTCTCTCTCTCTCTCTCTCTCTCTCTCTCTCTCTCTCTCTCTCTCTCTCTTTCTCTTTCTAGAGGAGTCTGATGAGAAACCATTTAGCTAATTTTAGGCCTACTGACCCAATTTTAAATGCTGCTATAATCTGCCTGCATGTCTGCCAAATATTTCTAACTTATTTCAAAAAATCATTCTTTACCCTCAGCTGAACCAAGCTATGTCAGTTTTATCCAGAAACCATACCATGGCTAAACAACTGGCAACTAAATCAGGAGTTTAATCTTGATCTGGGTTACTGATTCCAACATAACTGGCCAAGTTACCTGAGCATTCCACACTTGCATCCCTGCTGTGGGCACAGCTATGCTCTCCCCAAGGTCTTTTTGGGCATTCATTCAGAAAAGCTTCTTTTCCTGTGCAGTTCACTCTGTCTAGCCAAATGACTCCAGATCCTTGGCCAAACTGTGCTCCTCCAACGGCCTTTAGGGCAGTTCCACACTCCAGTTCTCTGCACACCACATTGGCATCATTTAAATCCCAGTCCTCATCACACACAGTCCCCCATTGCTTGTTGTGGTATATCTCAAGCCTTCCTGCACAACGAGTAGGTCCACCTACTAGTCGAAGTTCTGATGGGACAAAAGAAGTAAGTAAAGTGGCATATCCTCCAAATACAATTTACACAACTTTGAGGAAAAATATATTTACCAGGGGAAAACAAAAATATGATGTAAATTTTGTATACATATTAAAAATATAATCAGAAGTCAGATAATGATCTTGGGATAGCAGAAAGGACCCTGTGAGCAAAATCACATCTGATTGTTTCTGATATGTCCAAGCCAGCCCATTCAAAGTTCACCAAGGTTTTTGTCATTGCCTATATCAGCACTCTAGGTGACCATCTAAAACAGGGGTCCCCAACCTTTTGGACCTCAGGGACCACTAAATTCATAATTTTAAATCCCGTTGACCACTAATAAGATCTGCCTAATGACCGGCTGGATGGGCGTGGCTAGGTGGTCATGTGACTGGGTGGGCATGACCAACTCGATGGCCAACTCAATGTCATTCACATCGACGGGCACCTCACCAGCTTCTACTCATCCCTCCCCTCCCAGCCACTCCTCTCCTGCCCACCCGGGTTCTTTAGGGCCCCAACAGGAAGCAGTTGTTGGAGCTAAGCAGCCACCATGAGAAAGAGTTGGCAAAACAGCTGCCTCAGTTCAAATTGGATCTCTCTGAGAAAGAGGCTCAGCAAAAGCACCTCACTGAGGACTACGACCATACGCTTTCCAAGGAGTGGCAGGAGTGCAAGGCCAGGTACTGGTGCCTGGAGGCTCAGCAGGCTGAGATGGTCAGCCAGTTCCAGGCCATGATGCAGTCCCACTGGAACAAGGCCTTCCGGCTCTTCGCCACCAGCGGTACTTCTCTCCAGCCTTTGCCCAAAGCCCCGCACCAGGACGCTGAAGCCGACCCCAAATCATAATTTCTGCCCCCTTCCGACCCACATAAAAAGAGCCTGAAGGTGGAGACTCTCTGCAGCAACACAAACATTCATTGCACGTATCCAGCCCAGGGGCAGTAGTTTGAGGACCCCTGATTTAGTGCAATATAAAAAAATGCAAATAATGTTTCTGTGGACCACCAAAATTTTCTTGCGGACCACCAGTAGTCCACGGACCACCAGTTGGTGATCGCTGATCTAAAAGACTTCAAGCTACAGTCTTTTGGACCAGTCTTTGCTACATCACTTAATCTGAAGTTTTTCTTTTCTGTCTAAGAGGAGCCCCACTAGGTAGCAAGACCTTGGTGTCAGGTTTCAATGTCGTCTCAAATAAAATAAATTGCATTTCCTCTACCTGCATTTACTCTAGTGCTGACACTTGATTGATCTTAAAAAGTCAAGCAGTCCTGGATCTACTTAGTGCTTGAATGGGAGAACCCCTGGAAAAAGGTTGGACTGGTATGTCAACAAAACAAATAAATGCAGAAAAGAAATTTCCTCCTGGAAGAAAGCAATGGCTAGCAACTTCTATATTGCTTCAAAAAAGCAACATGATACATACACACAGTCAACTGGAATCATGGCTTATTTCACACTTTTTCATCATTCTACCCTCATAGGAAAGCAAAAGTGTTATTTTGCCATGATTCCACCTCCCACCTCTTGACAAAAATATTTATCAAGACAGGGGGAAAACTGCCTTAATTCATTGACCATGCCCTTTTTCACAAGCATTCCTGAAAGTTCTCTGAAATAAAAGATGACAACTTGTTTGTGTGCAAGTTATGTTTCAGAAATGTTTGCATCTGGTATATCACAACAGGCCTCTGATAACTCGGTGTATTTTATTGCACTGGAATTATTTTCAATACTATATTGATTATTTCGGAGAGGGCTCGCAATCTGGGAGTCCTTCTGGATACGCAGCTGTCCTTGGAGGAACATCTGATAGCTGTGGCTAGGGGGACTTTTTGTCAGGTTCGCCTGATACGCCAGTTGCGGCCTTTTCTTGATCGAGATTCCCTACACACAGTCATTCATGCCCTCGTCACCTCTCACCTGGACTACTGCAACGCTCTCTACATGGGGCTCCCCTGAGGGGCACCCGGAGGCTCCAACTGGTCCAGAATGCAGCCATGTGGGTAGTTACGGGAGCTGCATGGCACTCCCATACAACACCTCTCCTGCGTGAACTGCACTGGCTCCCAGTGGTCTTCTGGGTGCGCTTCAAGGTGTTGGTTATCACCTTTAAAGTGCTCCATGGCATAGGACCTAGATATCTTCGAGACCGCCTGCTGCTACCAATGGCCGCCCATCGACCTGTGCACTCCCACAGAGAGAGCCTCCTTGGGGTGCCATCAGCCAAACAATGTAGGCTGGTGATTGCTGGAGGTAGGGCCTTCTCTTTGGGGGTACCCTCTGGAACCAACTGCCCCCAGAGATAAGGAGAATCCAAGACCTTGGTGCCTTCTGCCATGCCCTTAAAACTTTCTTTTTTCAGCAAGCCGGGCTGGCTTAACACTTTTAAATGTTTTTAATTGGTTTGCCATTAAAAATAAAAATAAAATTTATTTTGATACGTTCTTCCAGACTTTCTTTCCCTTTAATAAGGAAACAACATGAAGGGCCTCTCAAAACTACACATCAGTTTTAGCCACTTCTGCTTTCCTATTATTTTTTTCACTTATTTCTTTAGCATTCTTTTCTTATATTAAAACCATTTTGGGCTTACCTTTAAAGGAAAACTGTTAAAATAGATGCAAATATAAAACAAATAAATGTATAAATAGAAACAAAAAAAGAATAAACAAATATGTAATTACTAAGTAGTCTATTTATCCACCAAACTATGTAAACTGAATTTATGAGATGTTTTCAGAAAAAGTGATCCACCCCCTCCAACACACTCAGCTTCAGTCCTGAGTTTTCAGAAATATTTCTTACCTGCACATACCACACCAGCGTCTTCTGAATGAGTGCAGTCATGTTCCCCCCATGTTTTTGCTGGACATTTGCTGATGGCTGTCTCTGATCCTGTGCAGTTCACACCATCTAGCCATATGGGACCAGCTCCAGCTCCATAACGAGAACCACGTGGGGCTGCCAGTGCATTCCCACAGCCTAAATACTGGCATACAACTGTGGCGTCATCAAGGTCCCAGTCGTCATCGCAAATAGTTCCCCAGAGTTTTTCATGCAAGATCTCAACTCTCCCTGAACAATGATTGGGACCATTTGATAATCTGATCTCAGGTGGTTCTGAAGAGAGAAATGTTGATAAGGAATGAAGTTCACTGCACAATTGGTTTTCTACAATTCCTAAGGTCTCTTTTAACACTGCAGCCCTGCAAATGAATATATTTTAATGTGACATTTTAGATGGCTCCATTCTTATTGTTAATATTCACTCTCTTCTTTGCCTTTTTTATATTTTAATAATAATTGTTTTCAAGTTTTGTTAATAACTGTTTTTATTTTATTGATTTGTTACCTATATACTGCCCAGAATAAGTTTTTGTGAGATGGGTAACCATATAAATTTGATAAATAAATAAAATATGCATTGTGATTATGGAAAAGAGCATTAGCCTATGTTTGATTCAAAAAGAGGAATTTTTCCTATTAATGGTTTAAACCAGTGACATGATGCCTCTCTCATCAACTATTCTAAGTAGTTGATGTTTTGCAACCATTGTAAAGTTTCATAATGACGCTAATACATTATTTTAAAGTGAGTAATGGACAAATTGCATCATGTTTTTCTTTGCCATTCCAAGTGATCATTTTTAGATTATTCTCAGCTATCAAGTTGCTTATAATTCCATACTTCTGTAGTTATTATAACCAGGGGTGGGCTTACAATTTTTTAGCAAGAGGTTGTCTGCCCGGTGGTTGGGTGGGCGTAGCCATGGTGGGCAATGCCTAGTTGGCCTCCTGCATCATAGCAGGGGAGGCATTTTTGCCCTCCCCGGGCTCCAGAGGCTTTCCTCGAGTCTCTGGGAGGGCAAAAATGGCATCCCCAGGTTCTGAAGGCCTTCTGGAGGCTGGAAATAGGCCCATTTCCTGAATTTCCTTCCTTCCTGAACTTCTGGTTGGCCCATTTTTCGCCCTCCGCATGTGCCCTGCACTTACCCGCATCCAAAACGGGCCACATGGGGACTCCTGGGAGGGGCAGGGTGGGATGGGTGGCGCCAATAAGGAATGGGATTTGGAGGTTCTTCAAACTGCACAGAATCTTAGCTAGAGGTTCTCCCACCCCTGCGAACCCCCAGCAGCCCCACCCCTGATTATGTCCATGAAATACAAATGTTCCTTCTTTTTATTTCCAGGTACAAATGCCCAGTTATATCAATGCAGACATATATGTGTAAAAGTAAAAGGACTGATTATCTGCGTGGTATTTCTGAAAAAAAAGCACCTCTAAGTTGCTATGTGTCAGAAAAAGGAAATTATTTTTTATTTTCATTAAAAGATAAGCTTTACACTTTCCCTTCTCTTACTCTTATGGGGTCTTAGAGTGTCACAGATCTTTGCTTTCAAAGGTATAGTAGGAAGTAAATAATGAATTTTCATAAGAAGATTTAGAGAATCTTTACCAAGGCAACATTGTGGAAAACAATAGAGAAATGAAGATATAACACTTAAACAGCACATTTGCCCCATCTTAATTTGTAGAAGACAGCAGCTCCCATAGAAGATTTTTGATTTTATCCTTATGATTGGTGGATGACATTTTCAGAAAAAAAGAAATTTGGTGGATCATTTATCTCTTTCAAGGAGACTTGGACAAATTTCCTATTAGTTCCCTTCCCCATGGCAATAATTGCCATTTCTTTCTTTTGGGATTTATTGTTGTTGTTTGTCTAAGATCCTTCCCCTTTATAACTGCCTTATATCTTTGAAAGACAAAAAAGAATGGGGAATACTCTTCAAGGAATGATTTTCATTATCAATATGCCAAACTAATACAGTTTGGTGTTGCAATTGATTTCACAGATTCAGAATTAATCCCCTCCCCCCACCCCCATGGATGGACAGAATAGCCCACAAACAAGAATAGAATATACCTCCAACATTTTGTGATTATTACCTGCACACTCCACGCCAGCATCCTTACTGTGGCTACAACTGTGTTCTTTCATGCTTTTTGGTGGACATTTTCTTAGACTGTCTTCTTCCCCTGTGCAGTTTACCTGATCCATCCAGATTGGACCAGTTCCTTGTCCAAATTTAGCTGCACCTGCTGCTGCTAATGCATTTCCACAGCCTACTTCCCGGCACACCACATTGGCATCAGCTAAATCCCAGCCATTGTCACAAATTGTTCCCCATCTTTGGTTAAACAACACCTCAACTCTACCAGTGCAAATGGTAGAACCACCTGCCAGTCTCATCTCTGTGTAGAAAGAAAAAGAGAGAATGGAATTAATTTAGTACAGGGGATTCTAACGTGGCAGCCATCCAGAGCAGCCATTCCTGGAGCAAAGAACATGTTTATAACCTTCAAACAAAAGCAGCCACAGCTTTAATAACACCAGCATTCTCTGCTTTTGGCAGAAGCCCATCTAAGTATTTGTGTGGGATCACCATCAATATACACTAACAAAATGCATCATCTTTATTTATTCCAACCTCATAAAAATCTACCAGATTTATTTTATTTTTAATAGCTGTAAGTTGACCTACCTTCTGGGAATCAGCTGAATTTTTTTTAGAAATATATATGGACCACATTACATGGCAAAATGATAAATAAGTTGATGGTAGAAGGAATGGTTTTGTTCTGAGCAGATATAGGGGGAATTTAAGTTAGTTACATAAATTTCCCCTTTCCCACCCTTAATCTGCTATCTTTCCAGAACCTGATCCTATCTGAAGCTAGATATTTTGGGTTTCATTACTGAGAATCATTCCATTTCCTTTTCCTCATGGAATAATATATTTTGTGAAAAATTAATATATTCTTCTTGAAGATAGTTGTACTGTTTGTAGTTTTTGACAGGGATCTGGCAAAGAAGATTGGAGTTCCTGCCGCACAGAAAATAATCATATTCTTCTTTCATCAATGCTCCCCTTCTTAAATATAATGGTAATCAAGTTTGACCAGTCTTAGAAGCTAAGTAGAATTAGACCCAGTTAGTACTGGGGCAGGGGATCATATGGCAATCCAGAACTGCTAGATGGATTGAAATAACAGAAAACCATCTCAGAAAAAAAAAGAACAATGATCAACTATAATGATACCAGCAAACTACAAACACAAGAATCAAACTTAACTAAAGGATATCTTTACAATTTTGAACTCTCATATTGATTCATGAGGTTTTTCTGGTGATATAGAAAGTTTAATGAGTTCAATTCCAAGAGAGAGTTAAACTGTCCTCTTGTAATGTCCTGGAGCTATTCTACGCATATGCCTTTCCTTTATTATAGTAAATACTACTTATCATCACATGAGATAATGTTTTCACTGAAGTATATACAATACAAAAGTTCCGTAGTACATTACTACTTGCGGTAAGTTTATCATTCCAAGGTTATCATTCCAAAAATGCTTTCCATCTACCTATTCTGTAGTGCATATGGACATTTAACAGTTGGCTGGTGCTCAAATATTAATGGGTTACAATAATTCCACCCATGCTGTGAAAAGCTTCACTTGTTGAAACCTTCATATCAATTAGCCATGCTAAATATGACACAACTCTCAGTTGATAAACTCACCTGAACACACAACACCAGCATCTTCTCCATGATGGCAATCATTGTCTCCCAAAGGTCTTGATGGGCATTGATTGAGGAAGCTTTCTGTCCCTATACATCGAACTTCATCCATCCAGATGCGACCAACTCCTCGGCCAAAATTGGATTCCCTTGGTGCTGATATTGCACTTGCACAGCCTAGCTGCCGGCAGACAACACGGGCATCTTCTATGCCCCAGTTATCATCACAAACAGTACCCCACAAACCATTATGGAATACTTCCACTCTCCCTACACAGCGACTTGAACCATTCACCAGGCGAATCTCTATTGGTTGTGTAGCAGTTGGTTGGATAGTCACAGCTAAATCTATAAAAGCCAAGTTCACAGAGTGGATTAATAAGGAGAGAACAGGGTGGATAAAATAAAAGCATCCTTTATATAACTGCTTTGAGAACATAGCAACAGGAGAGAAAGAAGATATGGGCAAAGATTTGAGAAGCATCTGCTGAATCAGAGGAACATTGTTCTTTTTCCTTCCTTCAATTTTTTTTTTTAATTTGATTTATATGCCGCCCTTCTCCGGAGACTCAGGGCGGCTTACAATGCGTTAAGCAATAGCCTTCATTCTTTTGTATGTTTTATACAAAGTCAGCTTATTGCCCCCACAAACTGGGTCCTCATTTCACCTACCTTAGAAAGGATGGAAGGCTGAGTCAACCTTGAGCCTTGGAGAGATTCGAACCAGCAGAAATTGCAGGCAGCTGTGTTAATTACAGGGTGCACTAAACCCCTGTACTATCAAGGCCAATTCTCAAAGACTACCTGAGCAACTCTCTGCAGTTCTCTGGGCAGGGTTTTTTCACAAGTGGTTTGCCATTGTCTTCTCCATAAGGGCAAGAGAAAGTGACTGGCCCAGGGTTATCCAGCTGATTTGTGTCTAAGGTGAAACTAAAATTTCTTCCACCACCTTTTGTTGAATGCAAATCTTATTACTTAGGCTCTCAATCTTATTTCAAACAAAATAGGTTGTTCAGAAATTTAGAGTAAAATCAGAAAACAATGATAAAGGGATGGTTGATTAATTGAATAGATCAGGACTGTCAAACTCCCAACCCATGGGCCGGATGCGTCACACACTGGTAACACTGACACCCAATTTAGCGAAGGAGAAAAAAGTCCCGATACGTCATGTCATGGTGTCGTGATGACATGAGTTTGACACCCCTGGAATAGATCCTAATATTTTTGAGATTTTTCAAAAATGTTCTGTGGTTTACAACTCTGTTTAATACTGTTCTAAAGAAGTTAAAGAATTTATTGGGAACTTGCCTACAATTGTCAAGAAATCTTTTAACACTGACAAGGGAGTAAGACAGAAATCATGTTTCTAAATTGAAATATAATTTATGAATTAAACTGAAAGAACTATTAATATTCACCATACTACTTTATTTTGTTTAGCTTTATAAATAAATTTAATTTAATTACAAAAGTACAAAAGATGCTTTATACATTTCTCCCAAGACACTTTATTGCAGATTTTCATTTTGGGAAAAAAGAAATTTAACAGCATGACTGATGCAGAAATAGCTGAGTTTATAACCATCAAATGATTTCAGTTATTCTGCCATTCTGCCTTTCCTTCCCTTCCCTGCCTCCTATATCCAATTTAAATCCTATATTAGTTTAGCCCAGAGTTTCTCAACCTCAGCAACTTTAAGACATATAGACTTCTACTCCCAGAATTCTCCAGGCAGCATGGTAACTCAGTGAATGCAGACTTTTCAGACTTGATGTTCTAAGGTCTCTAATAACTTTAATATGGTTAATAAGTGATTTCCTAAAGTGATAAGAGATAGATATTTGCAAATCTTGTGGCTTTAAAAAGGCTTTGCTCTGATTGTCACCAAGAAGTCTGATCTCTTCATTTTCTGGTGCTCAAGAAAAACTGTTGTCCTGCAGTCCCCTCCTGAGTAGCAACTGTCTTGAGCACATCTGGGTGATCTCCTGCCCTATATAGAGAGGTGGCAAAGATTTGGTTTATTCATTGATTTTTCAGCCTTTGCTGCTGTCATCAGCTTTGCTTTCACAGGAACATATTCTTCCCCCTAAAGTCCTCAAATTTTCCTTTTTGATAAGATTTGGATCAAAAATAAACATTTTTTTCACTTTCCTGAGGAGAAGTAATGTAATTGTTAGACTAAATATTTTTATAGCTATTGGAGTTCTGATATTTAATTATGTATGTATGTATGTTTGTATGTATGTATGTATGTATGTATCTATGTATGTATGTATGTATGTAATGTAATGTAATGTAATGTAATGTATATCTCATTTTTATTATTTTTGCAAATAAGGCTGTGAACATATCCCACATACTTTCTTCCTCTTATTTTTACCATGGTAACAATGAGATAGTCTGGACTGAGAAAGAATGACTGGCCCAAGATCACTTATCTGATTTTCATGGCTAAGGCAGGACTTCAACTCACACTCCCCTATTTTCTAACCTGGTGCCTTAACCACTAAACCAAATTTATTCTCTTTTAGTGTATTTTTGGTCATTCAAATGTATTACTGTTATTGCCAAATTGTTTTATTTGTTTTAATTTAATTTAATTTGTATACTGCCCTTCTCCAGCAGGACTCCTCTATCTGCATTCATTTTCAAAAAAAAAAAAATTGAAAGTTAATTTTTGTTTACTTAAATAAAAAAAATAAGTAAAATTGTTAATTTTATTTTAATCTTTTATGGAGCCTTCCGTCTCACAACAGGTTCTGGGCAGTATACTAAATACATTATAATAAATACAAAATCATTCTGCTCTGATTAAACAGTAATTACCAAAACTAAACCACATCATTAATGGTGTTTACCAAGTGCCTGGTCCAAAAGCTTGGAAGAAATGTTTTATAGAATGTTCCTTTGGCTAGTTTGGGTCAGTTAAATAATGCTTGGAGTATAAATATCTTAAATAATTATAAAGCAAAGGAGTGTACTAAATGTACTAGAGGGCATGAACTGTTTCATAAAAATAATGTCATAAATTTCATTTTATATGTGAATCCATTGTTGAACTATGTAGTCCATACTGCATGAACAATTACAAAATTACGATACAACATCTCAAAAGTCCATTGCTGAATGTTGCACTGCAAAATACGTGTTTCCCACATATCACTTTAGAAGTGATTTAGTAGAAGTGTTTTAGTAGAACAACCCATTCTATTCCTAATCTCATTGTCATACCATGTAAATTCTACAAATCCTTGAGTCCTATAGGAATCTAACAAATCTCAGCCTTTGTATTGTTCAATGGTAGTTTTAAGAAATATGCATTTTTAATAAATTATTTTCCTATTTTAATTTTTGATTAAAATAATGAGCCACCCTTGCCAATCATTAATTTTTCCCTTTTCAGAAACCCATTTTGTTCACTACACTTTTTACATATATAATAGGTTTATTTTGTTGTGTCCCAACATCAGAATATTCCAGAATATAAATGTCTTATTGGCTCATCTCTTAATCCTGTTTGCATCTTTCCATTCCCTTCCTTTGGTTGTTTTTGTTCGTGTATTTTTGAAATATTCTTCCATGACACTCAACCGAAAAAAAAAAGGCAGCAAAATGGGGATCTAATTTCCTTCTCCCAAGTCAAAACCATGCAAAGAACAGATGTAGCTTAGAATTCAAGGCTACCTGAATCTTTCTTATTCCCTCTTGCTTATTCCCAGACAAACTCTTGGCCCAAAATTTTGATGATTTCCAAAGTTGAATTTTTCTAATCCCAGAAAAATCTGGCTTCACGGGATACTGATACTGTCATAGATAAAAACCAACTTGTTTCATGTAAATGCCATCCTCTATATATAATCCTCTAAATGTGTCTATTACAGATGGGCTGCAGTCAGTCAGGACTCCGATGATGGTTCTGAAGTTGAAGAAAAGGCCCCAGCAGAACCTTTGAACAGCCTCAGGAGGTACACAGTTAATAATCACCTGAGGCTGCTCAAACACAGGTACCAGCTAAAGAGCTGAAGTACAGATAATGATGACATATGGCCTCTCAATCCCTGCACCTGATGAGTAGAGTGAAGAGCACAGCAAAGACATTCTGTGATGCTCCTTGCCAAGTAAGGGCATACATCTCTTGAATAAAGGCTGCTGGCTGCAGCCTAGTTTAAGAGGCAGCCCTGACCCATGATCCCTTATTGGAATCAACAGGTGTAGTCTCCAGTTCTTGTGTGAGATTTGTTTGCATTCTGCCCACCTCTGGACTGATTGATAACCTTGACATGGCTCTTGGAACTCTGGACTGGATTTTGTTGCTCTATATATTCTTGTTAAAAGCAAAACCACTCAGTAGGCTTCTTTCAGAAGCTACAGTTATTTCCTGGTCTTGAGTAATCTGCTAATATGTGAATGTATAATTGAACCCAGAAACAGGACATGAGCAAAAATTTTGAAAATGAATGCAGATAATATATTGTCACCAGGCACATTTCTTCTGAGCCCTATGTGACAGACTAGACTAAGAAATAGACTCCATAGAAGAGCCTAATGCTGGGAACGATTGTGGGCAAAAGAAGAAGGGGATGACAGAGAATGAGGTAGCTGGTTGGAGTCACTGAAGCAGCTTAAATGGACTCCAGGGGATGTTAGAGGACAGGAAAGCCTGGAGGAATGTTATCCATGGGGTTGCGATGGGTCGGACGACTTTGCAACTAATAACAGCAAAAACTCTAATAAACAACTTCCATTTAGATAGGCTACAGTAACATAATCTTGTAAATCTGATTGTTATCTTTCTTCTCCTTTTATATGCATGTGAATTAGGGAGATGGCTGTCTGAGATATTTTTTTATAACACTCCCTCATTTCTTGGATTTAAGCACTGTTTCCCATTTTGTTGCTTTGGTAATGGATTTTTCCTCTCTCCATTCAGGTCATCCTTTATATTCTCTGCACTATTATACCAAGTCCCATGTCCTGCAATGAATTGAACCATTCTGCTTGCCACTTAATCTGCCTCTTCCCCCTTTCCTCCAACAATTCATTCCTTGAAGACTGGGAAAAGAAAGAAAAAGATTATCATTAAACCCTGGGGAGAGAGGAGAGAAATCAGTTATCTGAAAATATTCTACAGTATGAGTTCATTTGAAAGTAATCTTTCAGAATTATTGCAATCTGCAACTCTTTTCAGGTTGAAAGAATGCACATGTATTGCTAATTGATATGGGCAGAGTTTCCCAATAGCACAATCACTATTGCCTACACAGGTTTCTTGTTTCTAGAGATGCTAATTACAGCAAAATGTACTTTGTAGATCCTGGCATGACTCAATTGAGCAGATGTAGAT